CAGTTACATGATTTAAATTTAAAAATTTAAAAAGATTTCGTTATTACAATGTTGGCGCAGTTATATATCATACTGAAATTACAGGGTTTTTTTTTTTTTTTCTAAAATATATATTTGCCATTTAAACTAAACATTATATATATATATATATATATATATATATATATATATATATATATATATATATATATATATATATATATAGGTCTGTGTGAGTGTGTGTAAATATATATATATGTGTAAAATATATATGTGTAAATGTATATCTATGTGTGTGTGTGTGTAATATATATATATATATATATATATATATATATATATATATATATATATATATATATATATATATATATATATAAAGGCCCATTCTATGACTATACTGGAAAAATTTACATCCAAACTATTTGTGTTATTATAGGAAATCCACTTGGTCCTTGATTTCCCAATTATTACATGTTCCATGTAGAAAATGAAATTTAAACAGGTCTGTAAACCTAAAATATATGTAGACGGTATTTTTGTTTTTGTAAATAACACTAAAGAAAAAATACGACCACATTTGAGGAAATCTCTGACCTTAAATTTGCCTGCTAATTTAGTCAAAAAACAAACCCCCTTTCTTAGATGTTCTCGTAGAATATAGTAATACCACTTTTATCACCTTATTATATAAAAAAAACCACGGGCAGATATTCTTGCCACTTTAACTTTAAAATTGAATACCCACTCAGATACAAAATAGCAGTCATAAAAACTTCCTAAAAATAGCACACCAGAATTCATCCTCTCGACTATTCTTGCTCGAAGAACTCAATAATGTAAAACAGACACTAATTAAAAATGGCTTCCCTAACCACCTTATATACAACCAAATTAGACTAGATAGTGAACATACAGTCAAAAATTACAGAAATATTTTCTACAAAAACCAAATGCACATTAACTACAAACAAGATGAATCTTCACTTAGAAATATTTTAAAGAAATACACTACCCTAATTAAACCGAATAAAAAAATCAAATTAATTAACGACTATAAAAAATTTAAGAAAGCTAACCTTATCCTCAAAAATAACAACACACCAGCTAAGTCAAAATTACAACGAAGGAACATTATCTATGAGTTCAAATGCCCCTTAAGGAACTAAGTTCCTGATCAAACCGAACTAATAATTATATCCTACATGCCTATCCAGATACCTGACGTTACATCTATCTGACCATGGCTCTAATAGAACCCATTTAAACACACACACAAACTTACCAAACTCCTTCCAAAACATACTAGTAGAAAACACAAGCATAATAACCTCATCCACCTGTAAAAAAAAAAAAAGATGGAAAATAATGGAAACCTGAATAATAAAAAAGAAAAAAGCCAACATTTAACTACGAACAAGGCCAAAATGCACTAACTGTGTTCGGAAAATAAAACATCTCTATAACACACTAAAATCATACACATAACGTACACAATTAAACTGAAAAATAGCATCATCCTTGATAATGGCTAAAAGAATAGACGAAAGCGCTCGGAATTATAACACTGTGTCCAAAAGAAAACACTTGTTAGAATACAATAAAAATGCTTAATCATAGTACCTTGTCTGTCGTTTTTAATGAAACATGCATAAATGAAGGATTGCTGCCTAAATAAACACACACACACACACACACACATATATATTTATATACATGAATTTGGATCAACGTATTTGAGCAAATATTTAAATTTACGTCTACGTGTAAAAATCAATTCATTTCTCTTGTTTAATAAGCTATGATTGTTTAAGAGTTTTAACAAAACATAAATTACATTTATTGGCTTTCTCATTGTAAGATTTGGCTCTTGCCACAATATGCCATGTGATATAGGTGTATTACCACCATTCCTTAATTGCCAGAAATATTTAGAGATAACAGTGCTGTTTTTGTATTTTATATAGGCTAAATTCATTCTATGGTGGTAGAAACTAATTTTGCAAAGAATTTCAGCGAAATCAAAATAAACTTTGACATGTATGCTAGCTCGGTATACAATGTTGTCACTTATACATTGACCGTTAAAGGGACAGATCGTATATTTTTCGGCAGCAGCATTTTTTTTAAATTAATGTTGTTTTTGTTAGAAATATATTTATTTAATATAATGTTGTTATGTTGGGACATAGATTTATCGATGTTACTAACGCTGCTATAGCTGATCTTAACATTATTTTTGTTATAAATCCTCTTTAGTGTTGGTGAAAGATTAAAGTTCTTCTGAAATAAATTTAGGAAAATTCTTCCGATATTCGCTTGAACATTGCGATTAAAAGATGAATTCAACAATATTATGTGACGCCTGCGGTGTTTTTTGTTTATGTTTACCTACTTTTTTGTTTTTATTTTCTTTCTAAATATTCTAAATTTGCTTTATGGTTGCTTAGTACTAAAACTGTTATATATCTAATTTTATTATTACCAAATATTTCCTTATCGATAGAGTTGGTAGATAATCTAACTTGAACTGATTTATCTAAATTATCTAGAATTTTATGATGGCGGTTTCTGTTAAGTCGTAAATAGGAAAGGTTGACACACATATAGAAAGTAAGAAGTAGTTTATTTCGGAGAATAATATAATATACGGCTGTAATAAACAGTTAATCGATATCTTCTTGTCTTTACCCGAGACCTCCCCACAAGGTTGTTTTTTTTTACGTGGGGCTTCCGTAGGCTCGGGCAAAAATTGCCCGTAGACCCCTTATACACGAGATCGGGTAGCTGTCTACCTCCCCAGAAGAGACTCTGCCCTTCGCTATAACCTCGTCTTGGTTTCTATCTCCCCGAAATCAGAAAGGTCGTAAAGCAGAGATAATTGTAATCGTTAACTGCTCTCCTTCAGAAGAGAGAGTGTAGTTTAAATAGTATTAGACCAAGTCATCTTGTGGGGGTGTTCAGCTACTCCACAAAATTTTCATTCTTTAATGGCGCTTATATGGTTATATAGATCATTTGTATATGGTATTTAATAACCATTATTTAAATCCAAGATCACACCGAGAAAGTTGATCACTTTAGCATTGGTGGTAGTGGCAATATTCAATTTGTGATATTTGAAAAGTTTTACCAGTCCCTTCCTCAATCTGTTTATATTTCTTGAACTTTTTTTATGGGGGAGAATTACACCGTCATCTCTAAAGAGTTCAGTGTCATTAATGTGGAAAATATATCTTAGCCGCCACACTAAGAAGAATTCAATTAATTCACGTGCCTCTGATTAATCATATTTTGCCATACTAATATTAAATTCTATGTTACTTCTTTTGGTCCACACATAAACATTATCGAAACAAAATAAGTATTTGAGTGTGCTTTTATGATTTTTAATTCTCGATCGTCAATTTCATATATATATATATATATATATATATATATATATATATATATATATATATATATATATGAAAAAATATATAGAAAATAGGACAAGGCTAGAATATGTAAAGCTTGGGATGACCCATGCCCTTTGTGCCTCCATGAAAAATTGCACATTATTAAACTTCTAAATAATAATAATCTATTAAATAATAGACACGAGTTAACGGTTTTTGTAGGCATCATCAGATTTTTGGTTTGAATTATTAGATAAAAAATTTATATAACTTGTTTAACAAATAGCCCAATCATCAGATTCATAGTAGGAATAATTAACTACAAAGATGCATACAACATAACACCCTTCATAATCCATAGCCTAAATTAGTAGTTTAAATACCTTACATAAAAAAGATAACCCTTTATGAAGTCGTCAAAAAAAAAACGTTACGAAAGTTTTTCTTTTTTATATGCACAATTCCCTTTCATAATAAAAATAAAATAAAATAAAATAAATAAATCTCCATAGACAAGCAAACTAGACGATGGCTAATACATCTTCCGTTTCATTTTTGACACCACCACCTTTCCCCGACTTGACACCTTGAAAGTATCTCTATACCGCTACTTATTATTAACACCCTACACTCGCCTACCCAATTTAGACAATTCACCCTAGCTGTTACCATGGGGATTTTGATTTCAATTTTTAAAACAAGTAAATTTCAGATATACATTATTCCAACAAAAATTTCGCTTGAAGATGGAACGGAGCCCATTTTACTTTCAACTCAATTTAATTTAAAGGATTATATTGAAGTTTTCGGCTCTTGTTTTGAAACATGAGACCTCTTATGTAAGCGATTTGGAATCATATTTTAAATAAATAATTATATATATATATATATATATATATATAATTATTATATATATATATATATATGTTTCATATATATGTGTGTGTGTGTGTATACACTCAATATATATAATTATTTATTTAACTGAAATGTAATTCCAAAATTGAAATTGTTTAGAGAATTGATCGTTTTAATAAGAATGGAGCCACATATAGTGTAAATAGTACGATTTTTCTGATCTTACTAAGAACATGACAATTATTTCAAAACACACACACACACACACACAGACATATATATATATATATATATATATATATATATATATATATATATATATATATATATGTTGTATCACAAATTGGAAAAGTTTTCGTGGACGCCTCTCGTCCTTTGCAGTCATAAAGGTCGAAACGCGTGACAAGAAAAGTTCTTCCACTTTGTCATACATTTTTATACAATATTTTTTTCATAAGTAAAAATTTATATATTGTTATCTCATATATGTATGTATGTGTGTCTGTGTGCGTGTGTGTTAACCACTTAAATATACTGTATATCCATAGACATAGGGCATTATGCAGGAATGTAGATATTCACATACGCAATGAATACACAAGCATAAAATTGCCTCCGCTCGAAACGCAAAATAATGATAGAAAGGAAGAGAGAAAGAAAGAAAGAACAAAGAAAGCAAAAAGAAAGAAGAAAGGAAAAAGAAAGAAGAAAGAAAAACGTACAAAAAAGAAAGAAAGAAAAAACTGGAAAGAAAGAAAGCAACATAAATGGGTACGTGCATGTATCAGTTACTACACGATTTTGTTGGAATATTTTTATTTTTTTTATTTTTATGCAGCAAATGACAGAAGCAATTCTCACAACGCATATGTTTTTCACTGTTCTTAGAAGAGTTGTATCAGACGTAGAGATCAAACCAGTGTGAACACGCCGTCTTCTTGTATATGTGTGCAGAGGGTGATAGGAGCCTGCGCGTGCGTGTGTGTGTGTGTGTGTGTGTGTGTGTCTTTGTGTGTGTGTCTGTGAGAAAGAGAGAAAGAGAGAAAAACCCAATTTATTCTGAAGTGATGTCCCGTTAAAACGAAAGTGGTACGCACAAAACTGGCGGCATTTCTTAGCGGGAAGGAGAGGATGTTTTTCGCACGCAGCAGGTGCACAACCGTCGATGTTCTGACGTGAAACACTTAAGTATCGGACATCGGCAGCTGCGAACTGCATTCAATAAAGACACATCTTTTCGTGGTGGTAGGGTGGGGGCGCACGTTTTACACAACTGCCCTCCCGCAGACACCTACACACCCCCGCCCATGAAATGGATAGATTCTCGTGCCTTTTCGTCTCAGCCAACATTGCCAACATGATTTTCATTTACTTATCTTTGATATGTAAATTCCAGAATGGACATGCTGCAAGGGTTATGGTGAAAGAGCAAAGTGAGATCTGTAAGTTGGCGATGAGTCGTTATAATTCCACAAGTTCTTGGGTCAATCGATCTCATTTGTTTTGCTATTACTACAACGTGTCAGTTGATGTGGATATACACCTGTCTCAGGTGTACAAAACATAAGAAATGAGATAGATATGCTTTTTTTTTTTGTAATGTTTATGAATATTATTTTTACTGATGATTATCATAAAAACAGTAGTGGGTCATATTATTTAAGAGTGTGGTTACCAATTTTTGAAGAGACTCAAGATCTGAGACAAAAAAAAACGGCCCCACCGAAAGTTAAGTGGGCAAAATTCCCTCTGACAGATTATAGTTCATGTGAGTTAAAGTCCAAGTTAGTGAATGGCAGCATCGCCCCGAGCCAACAGAAATGAAATCGCCTAACAGGATGTTAAATTCATGTCATCTTGAGATGCGAAGATTTTCTTTTTAACAGCAAGAAATAAAATAATGAGTCTGTGTTTAGAACTGTCGGAAGAAACCTCCATAAACAAGGTTTGTGTTCAGTGCCGGATATCGCCTCATTTAATCAAATCTACCGTTCCTGCAATAAAATGCGAACAATCCATTTGTTTTTAAATATTCTTGTATAGGATTGTTTATGATTTGGAATCGTTATGTTGATTGGATTTTTACATTGATTTTGATATCGATTGATATATATATATATATATATATATATATATATATTTAAGACATTTTTATGCTTATACATTCTTTTTATAGATACAAATATTTAAGTAAATGCTCTGTTTATAATATACAATATTAACAACATTTACCGGCCTGAATGTCCGAAAATTTTCATAGAAAATATGCTTCATCCGACAGGAATCGAACCTGTATCCTATACGGAACTGTCATATATATATATATATATATATATATATATATATATATATATATATATATATATATATATATATATATATATATATATTAAAAAGGCTTAAACACTAATATTCCATGATCATAATTTGTTCCATTGGAATCGTAAATACGATCCAATTCATCAGACCTACAAATTGAAAAAGAAAACGGGAAAAAAACCAACTCCGGAAATAAAAACAGAATTTAGAGAAAGTGTAAGTATGAGGAGGAGGGAGATTAAACCTTAACAGAGAGAATTTTAGGAGAGGTGGGTGGAAGGGTTTAATTAAGAGAAAAGAATGAATGTTGACGGATGTCTAATGCATAAATATACATTTCGTGGTGACATATACACACCATAGACAATCTAATGTTAGAATAAGAGGGAGGGAAAGACGAGGTGGGGGAGAGAGATGGGACGAAGGAAAGTAAAATTGCGTTTACTTAAAGGGCCGCTTTGTAATTGAGAAAATTTGACAAATTTAATATCAACTACAGGTTACAAATCAAATATAAATATATGAAGATAAATATAACGAGTATCTAATCCAGCAAGGACCTATATTTCTATGTTCAAAAACACATTAATTAAACCCCTTCCACCCATCTCTCCTAAAATTCTCTCTGTTATGGTTTAATCTCCCTCCTCCTCATACTTACACTTTCTCTAAATTCAGTTTTTATTTCCGGAGCTGTTTTTTTTCTGTTTTCTTTTTGAATTTGTAGGTCTGATGAATTGGATCGTATTTACGATTCCAATGGAATAAATTATGACCATGGAATATTAGTGTTTAAGCCTATTTATTATATCCTTACTCTGTCCTGGACATTGAGTTCTACCTGGATTCTTCCTCTTGGAATTTTTTTTTCTAAAAAATATACATGTATGGGTATTTATATATTTTGCATATGTATGTATATTTTCCACTAATATTATCTATCTATATATATATATATATATATATATATATATATATATATATATATATATATATATATATTACGACTACTAGCATGGGTATTCATGAGACTTAACAAATTTGTAGGAGAAACTAGACTGCTTGGCCAAAGAAAGAATGCCAGATCAGACGAAGGTTTCCCCTCCAAAGGGCTTCCACAGCTTCCTTCAAAGCATGCCAGAGAGCAAAATCTCTTCATCATGCCCCTCAAATGCTCAGAGCGGTTGATGTTATTTCCACTGTTTTAAATTAAATATAAATTTAAAAAAAAAACACGGAATCTATTCAATCATGTGTTTCTACCAAAAATATCGTTTAGAGTAAAAAGACATAATGGCGGAAAATGACTTTACAGTTGAACTCCATATATCAGAATCGTACAAATCCATCCTATAGCAGGACGAACATAGCTGATATGACCTTTTGCACCTTCGACAATTCTCAAAAGCAATAAACGTTCACAATGGCATCTCGATCAACCCGGGCTGTAATGATGCTGTTAATCCCGTCGGAAAAAAAAATTGCAACAGGCCCAACGCCGTTTATTTTGAACCCAAAGTGAGCGATGTCCGTCAGATGCGATGATCCTGTGAATACGCTCGTATTTTCAAACATATAACTGACCTATGAAAACTTCCTCGTGAAAGCTGATAACTTCTGCTATGTATGTGGCATCTCAAAAGCGAAATATAACACCTTCTTTGAGAAAAACATGCGAACTAAATTTTGATTGAAAACTTGGAGACCCAGACAAGAACTGGGCACGTAGACTGTTACACCTGTGTAAGAAATCTCAAACAATGGCTAACGTGTAAGAAAAAAGTTATGCGTTTTGCATTGCCCATGATTTGAAGAGAGCCAACCTATTATGTCACTGATTCTTAATTATTCATGGTGCCTCCAATTGATAAGAGACTTTCAATGAAAAAGAGATGGACAGTCCAATATCTAAACATTCCATCACCTTTGCGTCCTGTTCCCCATAATGAAGACATGCTTGACCAAGAAAGTATCGAAATCGTTACGATATTACCTTTGGTCAAAATGTGTTTTTGTATTAACAATCCAAGCTTACAGCAGTTTTACAAGATATTCTTCCCTAGCCACTACATATAGGTGTCATTGTTCACACTATTCATATGCTGACTATTGTTCACATCGTTGTTGTTGTTGTTGTTGTCAAAACGTTTAGACACACTACGAACTTCATCAGATGCATCTTGATCCGGGTAACGTTTGTGATGTCAACGAAAACTCGTTGCCACTTTTTTAATGTCAACGAATACTCGTTGTCACTTTTGTTATTATAGAGACTGTACATTATTTACATTATTCGGACTATTGTCCTCATCTTTGTCGCCATATTTATCACAACGTTTCGGCCGTTGTACACTCCGGCCTTCTTCAATAGTCCGAATAATGTAAATAATGTACATAATACCTCATCTCAGAAATATAGACAGATACTGAGAGACCTTGTAATTGCAGATGCAACTATAGTAACGCCGTTGAACAATACTGGTGTCAAACGCCTTCGAATAATACTCACTTGAATAGTAACGAAGGAATAGTAATCCTTGTAGTGATCCGTATAGTGGGCCGTATAGAGAAATAGGGAATAGTGATCCGTGTAGTAATAGATGATAGAGTAGAAATAGTGATGAATCAGACGCCACGCTAATTCTCATATATACATTTCTTTTGCCATCACGTGATCTACTCATTCAAAATAGGATCGTCTGCGTTTGCTCACTGGCGATCTATGTTCAAACTACAGCGTCGGTAGCGACACTTTATTCTTATATTAGAGTAACCTACGGTGAAAAGTTTATCAACTATATTTTGGCGGCAAAATTGGAGACCAATTGGGAACTAGATATATTGCTGTGTGGTACCATGCATCCAGGCAGAGAAAGAAAGGCAAAAAGGGAAAAGGAAAGAGAAGAAGAAAGGAAGGAAAAAGTAATGCGAGACGGATCATAGGTGATAAGCGAACACACACACACGGCTTAAGAGACAATAAAAAAGAAAAGGGTTATTTTGGATAAGTGGCAAATGGCGAAAAGAGTGTCATTACAATGACAATGAGATTGAGTGGGTAGGGAAGTGTTATCTAAAGATATGAAAACAAACTATTGGTACGGGAAGGCAAAGTACTTCTCTACGTTGGAAGCGAGTTGGGAACGGTGAGGCTGATATCAAATTTAACCAGATTCCCACCCGAATCACCAAAAGGTTAGAACGTCACATTTGGGTGCCGCGACCGATACCAAGCCAGTTGGTCGTCACAGTACGAGACAACACGACTGACGCGACAGGCGGGCGTCACGTTTGGAGCAGCGACACCCGGACGGAGCAGCGAGGAGCGAACAGCTGGCGCTGCGGCGGAGACGTCACAATTAGTGCTGTTTAGGGACGTCACAACTGGTGTCGTGACCGGGATAGGACCCTGGAACGGCCACGTCACAACTGGCGCCGTGGTAGAT